TTTACCTAACAGCTACGGAATCGGATTCAAAATCTGACAAGGTAAAAACTTCAATTCTCTTGACGTGTATAGGCGAAAAAGGGCGCGAAATTTATGACACTTTTGAGTTTGAAAATGCTGGCGACAAATTGAAACTAAAACCTGTTCTCAAGAAATTTGAAGAGTATTGCAATCCTCGTAGCAACACTACCTTTGAGAGACACAAGTCTTTTACATACCGCCAGGAAGAAGGACAAACTTTTACTAGCTTTGTGACAGAACTGAAGAAACGCAGTGCAGCGTGTGAATTCGATACTTTGAAAGACTCGCTTATTAAAGGCATGATCATTTGTGGTATCTCTGACAATGCCCTTCGTGAGAGAATGCTTCGTGAGCCTAACATCAATCTACAAAAAGCAGTCGAGCTTGGTCAAGCCTCCGAGCAAACCAAACTACATGCTCAGCAACTTACTGAAGACATGGAAAAGAAAATCCACAAAGTACACAGGCAAAAGCGAGAGAAGGAAAGGCGAGACAAAAACCGAGATAGGTTTAAATCTCATTCTCCAGAAAGAGATAATTTAATAAAGAACTGCAAATTTTGTGCAGGTCGACACCAACGTGGAAAATGCCCGGCGTATGGTCAAAAGTGCAACAAGTGCCAACGTAGAAATCACTTTGCCAGGTGCTGTAAACAAACAGTGCATCAAGTCGATGACTCTCAAGATCGTGCCTCCTTTGAATCCTCTTCAGAAAGTGATTTTGTTATCGAAAGCCTCGTTGCAACTGAATCTGAAGCAGCCTCTGAGGTTCAACAAGCACTTAAAATTGATCCTCTCAATAGCGACACCTCTGCGGGACACTGGTCTGTCACTCTTAATGCAGGCAGCCAAGACATTCCCTTCAAAATCGACACAGGGGCCCAAGTGAACGTGTTACCCAAGAAACTCTACAACAAGTTAAACCAGCTCGCCCACGAATCAAACAAACATCAACCAAGTTGTCCGCCTACAATGGGTCCTCCATCCCTGTACATGGAAAATGTATTGTCCCTATTCAGTATAAAGGACAAAAACACCACCTTCTCTTTATCGTCGTAGCTTCACAGACCACACCCATCCTAGGTTTGGCCACTTCAGAGCGACTCAATTTAATCAAGCGGGTCTACAAAATAACTGATACTAACATTGAGGAAGCTTATAGCTCCAATATATCTGAAGAGTACGCTGACTGTTTTGGAGAGATTGGCACACTCAAGTCCACCTATCACATGACCTTGAAAGATGATGTCCGTCCAGTAGTGGTACCTCCTCGAAAAGTACCGTTTGCTCTTAAAGATCGACTGAAGAAGGAATTAGACCGCATGGAGAGCATGGGTATAATTGAAAAAGTCGAAAAATCCACAGACTGGGTCAACGCCTTAGTTCTTGTCGAAAAACCCAACGGAAAGCTTCGCGTTTGCCTAGACCCGCGTCCATTAAACCAAGCAATCAAACGCCAACACTACTGTCAACCTCGTTCCCAGGGTATTTGCTCTTGGGAAGCAAAGACCCTGGTGGACGCTGGTCACGTGATCTGCTAAAATCTAGCAGATTTTTAATTAACGTTGTTTTGTCAATCTGGGAGGGGTGGGAATGTAGTAGTTGACATTCCCCAGATGCATTAGTGCTGTATACTTCACTTTACATGTATTAATAAACATGATTTATACTGTTCTAAATTCGTCCTCATCATGACAAGATTTCCTGCTATATTGAATGTCATCAATAATAAGTGCTGCGGTACATTTCAAGCGAGAAGCTGGATCATATTTCACTTGCAAGGAAAAATATACTCCACACGCGCCTGGCTAGTGAGCACGCATCAGATCGCCGTATAAACATACATATCTGATATCTTCTACACCGACTGATCGATCGAACGGTATTTATATAAAACGAACGATATGATATGGTTGTTTATAGTTGAAATGTATCCTGCCCGATATTCAAAACAAAGGATTTATTTTATAACGGGATCCTTTGATTTCCCAACTGAAGTACTGAACATCGCCAACTGTGTATATAAAACAATAGTGCTGTTTTGACTGTGAATTACAGTAAGCACAGGATTAAAACCCGTTATTCCTTTTATTTACATTGCTGAAACAGCTCAACGATCAAGAATGATATATGTCGAAGTACAGCTACAGTATACTGTTATCACACGCCAAGATTCCTCGGTGCGTGCGGTACAACTTGAATACGATATATGCACTAGACTAAATTATATCATATATTGCAGTAAACATTATGAATCTTATAAAGACCTTTCATTGGCATTGGTATTAATGCCCAGGCATTATTTGAAGAATAATCCAACTTAAAATCCAGCTTCTTTCGACTTGTATAATGCCGCTGTGAGTCATCAATATTTAAATCAACTTTAAGTCTTTAATCTTTATCGTATATACCCCTATACTGTGTCGTAACTGTAATTGAAATTTTAGAAGTTTCACCAAACGATACTTCGTAACTGTAAGCAAACAACCTATCTATCAGTATCAGTATCAATAGAAACTTTAAAAGGCTTAATAAAACTCATTAAGTAATTCTATGAGCGAAACTTGGTGCGCATATACAGTTTATGAATTATGTATATATAAATATATATCCCTGATAAAACGTATAGGGACACTTCGTACCAGATATAATAACAAATACTTTGCGAAATCTTTTCGGATATCATTCCTTTGCATTTAGGGTGGGAGGGTGAATGGCTATAGCTATAATTTATTATAGGAGATTCTGTGCAATATTTTGGCTCAACAAACAGGTAGTCGTGAAGACAAAAAAGTGCACTGTCCAGGGCCCGCGGAGCGTATTAGAGAGTGGGGGGGCTAAATCATCAATAAAACCCCCAATTAATTAATTTAGAAAGTTTCATTTAGATTTCTATTTTAATAATTTTGGCTGTCAGAAAAAGTGGGGGGGGGGGCTAAAGCCCCCCCAGCCCCCCCGTCTCCGCGGTCCCTGCTGTCGAGTATCGATTCCAAACAATTTTGTCAGTCGCTTTTGATACCTCTATTTTACAAAATTTATACCGTTTCCTTTCTATATGACAACAATTCAATGGCATATTATAAGAATATTGTAAATATCTGAACCAGAGGCAGAGCCAGGACAGAAACGTACGTATGAAATTGAAAATATTGCGCCCGAACCCCGAGAGAATATTAAAAACGCAAATATTTCAAACCATACGGTCATACGTTTTCGTTGCTTGATTTGCTGACTTGTCTGTTAGTACAAGAATCTGCATTTTACCATGTTTGTATAATTTAAAACGGCAAACAGAAACCAATTTAGCAAGAATTTCGAAGAATATATGATTCTCAAAGATTATTGTACAGCACGGCCACTCCTTGCAATCGAAGTGTGAAGTGCGGAAGTGGAAACATGTAATATGAGACCTTTCCATCCCCCTCTGAGGCTATCAATTTTGTATGGGTCACGTGACCAGCGTCCACCAGGGTCTTTGCTTCCCAAGAGCAAATACCCTGGGAACGAGGTTGCACTACCGTCTGCCTACTACAGAAGAGATAATCTCTCAAATGAGTGGTGCTCGATTCTTTAGCAAACTCGACGCAAGCAACGGGTACTGGCAGATTGCAGTCGACGACTTCACATCAGATCTTCTCACGTTTGGCACAGCGTTTGGCCGATACAAATTTAAGCGTATGCCCTATGGAATTCACTCGGCTAGTGAGATATTCCAACTCGAAATATCCAAGATCATCGCTGGCTGCGATGGTGCTGCCAACTCGCAAGACGATATAATCGTGTGGGGTGAAACAAAAGAAATTCATGATCAACGGCTGAAGAAGGTCCTAGACAAAATTCGAGATAGCGGATTGAAGCTAAACCATGCAAAGTGTATTTTTGGTGCAACGGAGCTCACCTTTCTGGGTCACATCATGTCCGCAGATGGAGTGAAGCCAGACCCAAGAAAGATTGAAGCAATTACCAAAATGCCCGTTCCAACAAGCCCTGCCGAACTTCAGCGTTTTCTTGGGATGGTGAACTATCTTGGTAAATTCATCCCAAACCTATCAGACGAAACTGCGCCATTACGAGCCCTCTTGAAGAAAGGAACCGAGTTCTTAATGCAGAAACCCCAAATTGATGCCTTTGAAAAGCTCAAGCGTCGGATTTCATCTGTTCCTGTCCTACAGTTCTATGACCCAAATCTCCCAACTCGTATTCGGACAGACTCTAGCTCTATTGGGTTAGGTGCAATGCTTGAGCAACGCATAGATGACTCCTGGCATCCCATTGCATTTGCCTCCAGAACACTCGAAAAATCAGAACAAAATTATGCTCAGATAGAACGTGAAACTCTTTCAGTCGTATTCTATAACAAACGTACTTGCAGGGAGGTGAGTCCGGGATTGGACGCACCGAGGGTGGCTGGAAGTTTCCCGAACTTACCGAGCGAAGCGAGGTGAGTTCGGGAAACTTCCAGCCACCCGAGGTGCGTCCAATCCCGGACTCACCGAACCTGCAAGTACGTTTGGTTTTTATCCCATACACCGAGCCATACACACATTTGTAGCTCTTCGAGATATATTCGTCGATGTTTTGTGAACATTTTCCCGGCCAAAAAATCACTGGGCAAGAAAATTCTTCTTTATCGACGTCTACAATACCTTTACTGCACTTTTTCTTTGGTTTTTCTTCAGTCTCAGTATGTTAGTCACCAAAAAAGTTCTTTAAAGTTTAGGTTTATCGGCTAAATCTTGTCCGCCATATTTGTTATTGTTATTGCAACGTAAGCAGTTTAGCGGGTGAGCTCGGGCGAAAAGCAGGTGAGTTCGGAAAAAAGCAGGTGAGCTCGACGACAAGCTCACCTGCTCTAAACCAATCAGAAAGCCGCTTTTAACACAGGTATGGGATAAGGATGTGAACGGTTCCACGAATACCTCTATGGTCGAGAATTTATCGTACACAATGATCACCAGCCCCTAAAAACCATTTTCTCCAAAAGCATTGTTCAGTGTCCTCCTCGCATCCAACGGTTCTTTCTGCGCCTACAAAAGTATGACTTTTCATTCGAATATGCACCCGGAAAGACTATGAAGGTGGCAGATGCCCTCAGCAGAGCCTCATTACCTGGTCAACCGGAAATTACCCCTGAAGATATTGCTCATCATGTTCACTCAATCATCAACCAGCTACCAATCAGCCAGTCAAAACTCTCTCAGCTTCAGCGCGAAACAGCAAACAACCTAGTTCTACAAAAGCTCAAATAATACACCGTCAATGGTTGGCCATCCGATGATAACATTGATAGTTCCGTGAAACCTTTCTACAGCCAGCGTCACGAAATTGTGTACAATCATGACCTTCTTCTCAAAGGGCAACAAATTATTGTGCCGAAATCCATGCGTCCTGAAATCCGAACCCTTCTTCACCAAGGACACCAAGGCATTGAAAAGTGCAAGAGTCGAGCCCGGCAAGCAGTTTATTGGCCTGGAATCAACCATGAGCTAACTGTTCTTGTCTCTCAGTGTGCAACGTGCACAAATCATCGCAACCGACAGCAAAAGGAAACACTGATACCACACGACGTGCCTGACCAACCGTGGGTCAAAGTTGGTACAGATCTCTTCTCGCTCCATGGTCGAGACTACCTAATAGTCGTTGATTATCACTCCAAATTCTTTGAAGTAGCCCACATTGCAAAACCCGTCGAGGCACCTGCCGTAGTTCGTGAAATGAAGAAAATATTTAGTCGTCATGGTATCCCACAAACAGTGTTCAGTGACAATGGCCCACAGTACACTGCCGCATCCTTTAAACTATTTTCACGAGAGTGGGACTTCCAGCACGACACGTCTAGTCCTCACTTCCCTTAATCAAATGGCCTCGTTGAGAGAACCATCCAAACGGTCAAGAAGTCACTGAAGAAAGCTGAAGAATCCCACAGCGATGTGTATCTTTCCATGCTCGTGCTCAATACAACCCCACACAATGATGGCCACTCTCCAGCCTACAAAATGTATCAAAGAAACCCTCGCACCACCCTTCCTTCTAGATCAACCCAGCCACCGTGCCCGGTGTCGCCAAGGCACAAGGTCAAGCAATCTTATGATCAGCATGCCCGCAATCTACCAGCTCTACTACCTGGCATTACAGTTCGCGTACGAACCGATAAAGACACCGATTGGTCAAAAAAGGGTAAAGTGGTAGAGAAGTGTAGTGAACCTCGATCATATCGTATCCTGAATCAGCAGGGAAACGTTGTTCGTCGAAACAGACGACATCTGCTTCCAACGAAGGAGACATTTAAAGTTGAGAACAACGACGATTATGACGACCTGAAATTGTCAAGTAGACCATCCACCTCCAACCAATCTAATGTGAAAGTTAGCAGAAACAATCCGATAGTGACATCTCGGTCAGGTCGACAAATAAAGAAACCCTCAAGATATGCAGATTAGAAGACACCTTCATAAATTAAGTGACCGTTACATTATATACATTGCAAGTTACTTATTCATGTTATGTTCATGTTGAAAAGGGAGATGTTGCATGTTGATCTCCTACCACGGGACCTCCTTACGGGAGATGGAAATTAGGGGGAACGTTGTTGTTTACGTGTAATGGGACACGAACATATAGATATATAGATATAGTGATATACACAAAGAAATGGACTAATATAACATAAATAAGAACTTTACAATAGGCCGTCATGCTCTATCCGTTGATTGCACATATCGCGAGGTTAAAAAATTCCGCCATAACCCAATGCATATTGGTCTCCTTGTTCAGGAAATACAAAGTGCCCGTTCACTAGTGTGCACAATAGGTATAATTTGTCATTCTGGTTTTGTTATGGCATTATACTAAAACCCAATCCTTGCGAAAATCCTTGCACTCTTCACGTCCACTTTAGTGAATAATTGTTAAATATATATATTAGGACAAAGCAGCCAGTTGTCAAAGTTCAGTGCTGGATGTTTATATTGAAGACTTTGAAAAGAAAATGGCGGATTTTAACAACTTATTGCATCTGTTAATAACTTTTTCTCCCGGGATAACAACTTTTTACTTGTGATATATCGAAAGAGCAGGTTATGAGATAAGCTGCACAATGGTGAATGGTCTGGTCACCTCAATCCATCGACTCGGAAGAATTCAGCGGAGGGCCTTAAGATATATTTTAAATCTATGAAAATGTATTTTTCTACAAATCAACGCACGGTCTGGTGAATTTCAATCAATCTGTTTTGCTTCGTGTCCGTAGTACCAGGTGCACGCGATCAACGAACGCTGATATCGTAAAATATGATGTTCCCAAATGTAAAAGTACTACATACCAACACTCGTATACTATCAGAGTCACTCGTATATGGAGCCTTCTAGCTAAAGATATAAGAACCAGCACCTCCATCGAATGTCGATGGTTCAGTGCCCTAAGGGAGCAGGTTTTTAGCAGTCCAACCGTAACAATGGTAAAGTGGATACCCCTTTTCGAGGGCACGTAAAGTCGGTTTTCCACTAGGCGGAATTTTGCGCGCGGAGCGGAATTTTTCTTTGTGTTGTGATTTCTCGGGTGGAGCTAATTAGAAAAGACAAAGAAAAATTCCGCTCCGCGCGCAAAATTGCGCCTAGTGGAAAACACGCTTAAGGGTGCTGAGGTGCGTAATTAATATTTATGATTGTGAGAGTTATAAGGAGAGGAAAATGAGGATGCGCAATGTTGCTGAAGGAACCATTATAGTGACATGCCTAATTAACGCCGCAATGAAAATAAAATAAAATGGTTTCAATCCTTGGCCTCTGGCTTATGACAGTACGCTTCCATTGCGCCACCCTGCTTCCAGGGATTAATTAACCAGTTGTGTATACTCTGAGTAGAAATTCTGGAATATTTTTTATTTTGCTCACTTGCCAATGGCCGGACATTTTGCAGAAAGACACTTTGCCGAAAGACATTTTGCCGAACGGACATCTTGCCGACGGACATTTCGAATCCTATGATTTTAATATGATTGGTTGGCTGAAATCAGCATTCTAATATGATTGATTCCCCAGAGTTCGATTCGTGCTGTTAAGAGCCAATTAGATTACAGGAAACACCATTGATTTCAAAATGAATATAGTAAATTATGTAATTGCCCTGATTGGGCAACCACACACTGTGTCATTCGACATTAAATAAATTATTCTATACTATACTATACTATACTATACTATACTATACCATACTATACTATAATTACTTCAGGCAATTTAGCAACACGTATCAATATATCAGTTCGTCATGAATCACGAAATGTAACATGTAACAGAAAGCATTAATAAATACAGGCAGGTGACATGAACAGTGAACGCAAATGTAGTAATTAGGGTGGCTCTCGGATAAATTAGTAGATAAATGTTTGCGTTTTAAATATTTCTCTTGCTATTCGACGCTCTTTATGGAAAACGACGCCTCGAGATGGAAGAAACCATACGAATGAAAATCTGAGCGACCCTTCAAGTTTTCATGGCTTTTTTCTCCTGTAAAACAGAGGGCATTGTAAAAGTTTCAATCCTGATAAAATATCTTCGGCGGACAGGAAAGTATAACCTGTGGAGTGAAATGAGACGAACATGAGAGAACATGAAACAACGTGAGATAGGCATAAGGTTTTGCCGAGACTTGAACTTGCATCATTGGATTCAGAGTCCAAAGTGCTAACCATTACACCACAGAACCACCCACTAGAGTTTGATAAGTGATCTTACTCTCTCCAGTTTAACGTTCGCGGCTCTTTGGACGTTTCTGGGCAGTTATTATTGAACAAAAACAATTCCGTTTCGCATTGGGTAGCGTACGTGGCCGACTGTCTGAGGCGCGGGTGGATGTTAGGCACTACTCGTTTCGATAACGTGGGTTCGAATCCCACCGCTTTCAGGATACTTAACTTCTCTTCCAAACACAGGCCACATGCTTTCCCCCTGCATGCCTCTGTTTGGAAGAGAAGTTAAGTATTCTGAAAGCGAAAGGGAACAATTTACCGAACATGCATGCGATCAGACTTTTATGCGAAGTGCTGTCCAGCGGTGTCAAGTAACAAATAAATGTACTTTGTTACTGTTCTTGAGTACAATTTTTGAGTAAGTAAACTTTTCCTAGAGTACTATTACATGGAACAAAGTCATTTTAAGAAGTAAATAAATAAATAAATAATTTAATGTTTACAAAAATTTACAAAGAAAGATTATATGTTGCATTACCTGCAAGTAGCCAAGCTAGTCGTGGCAGGCAATGAATTTAAATGTAGTTAGTGTAAGTAAGTTTAGAAAAATATTTTTACAAACAAGTGAAGGAAAGTATATAAAGTTAATTGATTATGAAAAATATTGTAATATTAAATACAGTATTACAGATCTAGCATTACAGAGAAAGGGCAAGCAGCTGAAACATCCTTATCTAGTATTCTATCTCAAAGGATCTAAGGTAATTTAAACCATCATAGTTACAATTGGCAATCTTGCAATTATCATGGGCACATCAACATTGTGATTCTCAGTTGTAAGAATTGTAAACAGGGCCTGGCACATTTTGTGTTTAAATATCTTTTTACTTTTTGAGCGAAGGCCCTGGTCAATACTAT